TACCACCATTGGGTGGTCTCCGACGCTGTAGCATAAATTAATTTACTGCAAATGATCAGCGATGACGAAAGCATATCGAAAGCCAAAAGAAAACCGAAATTAGCACCAAGGAAACCAAAACTCTATAACCCAGAAACTTCAACCATATCTCCATCTTCCAAGTCAGCTTCTCGAATTTCGGATTCGGGATCTAATTTATCACCGTCTACCACCAACTGAGGCATGGGAGGTACCGCCGCTACAGGAGGCGCTGCCTTCTTCCTACCCCTACCCTTAGCAGGTGGCGGAGGAGCAGCACTCGCAGTGAATTTCTCCGTCAACCCAACCGACTTGAGGAATGCTTTGATGATAGCACTACACTTGGTTGTAGGTCGAACAGTAAGTGTAACGTCCTTGACGTCCTTTCCTCGGAGGATGAGCTTGAACTTATCATCGTCTTCCTCCTTTTCAGGCTGAGACTCAGGTTCGGGAGATTTGTATTCGGGTTCTTCGATTGTAGGGGAGAGCGGACGGTGGATATTGGTAATTTCGTGAAGGTCTTGCGGAACAAGGGAGGGAGCTCGTGTTGGGTTGGAGCGGATATATTCGTACGTGTTCTTGTCACAAGCCTCTGGAGCACGTCATTTGGTGAGGTTTATATTGAGCATATTGAAGAGTGAATATTTACCTAGTTCAGCTTCAGCCCAAACGCCAATTCCGTGCGGAGAAGCTGAAGAGAAGACGCGCTTCTTATTATAACTTATAATAACGTTCTCCGGGAGGATCTCAGCAAGATCTGCAACCTCCATAAATACCTGGTTGAATGAATCGTGCTAAAAAGAAAAGATCAGAAACTTCGGACGGTCAATGCAAATCCAATCAGACATACCCTCTTCAGCTTGAAGCCCCCAGATCTGAGGTTTGGCGGTAGCGGCAACCTTGTTCAACGGATGGTATTTCCATCGAACCTTGACAGTCACAGTCTCGGGGCCACCATCTAGAACCGGCGTAACGCCTCTGCTATGAATAGGACCTTCTGATTGTTGACGCGCGCTGTCCTGTTTGACTTGGGCAGCAATCTTCGCAAGCTCTGGGTCTAGTTCGATGTTATCATAAGAGTCATCGGCCAGGAAAGGTGGTAGTTGGAAGGGGTTCGCGACCCTCGTTAAGCATACGTCTATATGTGAAATGACAATATGAGAGGAAGGACATATGCTAATTGTAGAGGATGACATACCGTACGCGCTCACGAGCATCCTTGATCTTATCTGCTGGAACTGCGGGCGGGGGAGTAAGAGACTTTGAACGACTACGCTGTCGTTTGCGTTGCCGACGTTCTGGTTCCCGGCTGCTACGTTTCGATCCGCAAATAGGTGGGACGATGAAGTCGAGAAGCTCGTCATCGGACTCGGAAGACGACGACCTAGGAGAACAAATTATATGAGTATTAGGTTGACATTGCTTAATTTTAGCTACACTCACTGTAGTGCATCTTCATCTCTCGTCCACGCCGGCAGACTTGAATTGGAACTCTGTCTGACCCGAGGTTTCATCATAGATTTCTTATTCTTGCGTGCAGGGGACGAAGAAGTCTTATGTTCCTCATCAGAACTATCCAAATTGATCACTTTATCTTTCGGTTTGTCTAAAAATGGGGGTTGAGACAACTTGAAGTATGATCGACATAACCAATGCGTACCTTCGGCTATTCGATCAAGCTTCCTCCATGCATCCACCGTCCTCGGTTTCCTAATAAAGAGCGCATCTTCATCTTCGTCGTCGATGACAATCGGAGTCTTTGCTTTCCTGACTGGAGGAAGGCTGTTTGAGGAAGGGCCGGGGGACGAGGGCGGAGCAGAGGATTGAACGCGTGCGCGTGGTTTTGGACGAGGTCGCGGTCGCGTCGACATGATCACGGTTCCGGAAAAGGTGGGGTCGTGGGAACTTCTCGCGGGAGCGCCCAGGTCATTTCACGTGACCGTGACTGTCACAGTGTTACTCTGTAGACGCACATTACATTGATCCTGCAGCCACACCGCCTGCTATTGAAGTTGCACTTTACGCGTCGAATCTCAGCATGTCAGATGCCCCGGTAACCTTCAAGAAAAGCAAGTCCAAGCGAGCTCAGCGGACTCGGGACTTGGATACAGATGTAACTTCTGGTGCGGATGCCGATACGGGCGAGGATTCTCCCAGTGTTCTCGCAACCAAGCTCAAGAACAAACTCAAGACTCGGACGAAACCTCAATCGAAACTTAGCTTCGGAGGCCCAGAAGAGGTGAGAGGTGTATCTGCGACACGCAACTGTTTACTTATTTTGCTTTTGTAGGAAGGGGATGGGGAAGAGTTCAAGGTTAAGAAGTCAAACTTGAGCAAGAAACTTGCTTTAAATAAGCAATTTACGAGGTGTGTATTTATGAGGGAATCCTCGTAATGTTAGCTCACTTGACTGAACTTGTAGTACTATCTCAGCTCCGACTACCCCTTCTGGTAGTGTACCGACGTATACCGCTGCATATCTAAATGAGCTCAAGGCTGCTACGCCGTCTGCTCGACCGAAGCTGGTGGAGGATGCTAGCGTTTCGTATGATGCTGATGTGACTATGGCGGACGTCGACACTCTTGGTGCTCCCTCCATCTCGTCACTGGTAGACTTGACTGGTAAGTATATGGTCCACCGATCAATTATAATATATAATTCAACTATTCATACTAGGTGATGATGCCAAGGAAACTGCCATTCCAACCTCTGCCTCAATCCAAGCTGCAAAGCAGAAACGAGAACATGCACGCAAAACTGGTGTCACTGAGGACTTCATCTCATTATCCCTTACCAAGAGAGATGACCGTGCTCAAGGCCCTCACCCCATGAGTAGACTAGTGAGAGAAGAGGATGAACTTGGTGAAGGGGATGATGGTGAGTTCAAAACCTCCTAGTCTTTGAATTGTCGAACTAATAAATGTAACCTCGACAATTAGAATTTGCAGAATACACGAGCGCACAAGAGCGAATTGCTTTAGGCAAGAAGTCAAGGAAAATAGAGGCCAAGAAGAAACGGGAAGCGATGAACGAGCTTATTGCTGATGCGTATGTATTGATTTGTCGTCGAATTTCAAATACGGTTTGACTTACTATTTGAACTCATAGGGAAGAGCAGGATGAAGAAACGATGGAATGGGAACAAGAACAACTTCGACGGGGAGGCCACATGGCAGAGGAGGTACAACTCTCAACCCAAAAGCTCACTTACAAACCCGCACCTAGTAAGTCTCCTCCCTCTTCCTAACAACCACTACTAACATATCTCACCCACAGTACCCCCAGCAACCCCAATCCCAACATTAGGCCCCGCCATCGCCCGACTCACACAATCCCTCTCCAACCTAACCACCTCACATGCTCAACACACAACCTCCATGGCATCCCTCGGAGCCGAACAAACACAACTCGAGATTCGCGAAAACGAGATGCGCACCATGATCGTCAAAGCCGAGGAAAAACGGAGTTGGTTTGTCGCGTTTAGGGAATGGGTGGAGAGCGTAGCGACGTTTTTGGATGAGAAGTTCCCGAAGTTGGAAGAATTGGAGGAGGAGCAGGTGTCGTTATTGCAGGAGAAGTCTGACATGGTCAGGACCAGGAGAGAAAGGGATGACGAGGACGATCTCGAGTTGCTCTTTGGTAGTTTACCGATCCCCCCTCAAGAGGTAGTGGAAGTGGATGAACTTGGTCGTGCACTCCCTCAGACTAATCCGACTCTAGCGAGAAAAGAACGAAACTCTGCACGCGAAGCTCGACGGGTCTATCGCCGTGCTCGCTCTCAAACTCAGACTCGGGAAGAAGGGTATTCAACAGACGGTTCCCTCCCACCTTCGGATGCAGCAGACTATGACGCTGCCATCGAGAAATTGTTGACAAAAGGAAAAGACGTGCTTTCGGATGTGAAAGCTAAGGATTTCAAAGACCCGATGGCTGGGTTAGGGAAATGGTTTGGGGAATGGAGAGAGAAGTTTGGTGATAGTTATACTGGAGCGTGGGGTGGATTGGGTATGGTAGGTGCTTGGGAGTTTTGGACGAGATTAGAGATTTTGGGGTGGGATCCGATCGAAGTAAGTTCTCTACGGTGAACATAATGTATGCTATACGAAACTAATTGTTTATTTGCTATACAGACCATCAAGACCCTAGATACGTTTGCATGGTATCAATCTCTGCACGATTACTCGCGACCACGACAAACCGACGACGACATGCAAACCGAGTCGGATCTGGGACCAGATGGCGATCTCGTCTCGGCGATGATTTCTACAGCTATTATCCCTCGTATATCCCAGCTTCTCGAGAAAGGTGGTTTAGACCCGTACTCGGCAAAGCACATGCGGAGGTTAATCGATTTGTGTGAGGAAATTGAGATTTCCGTACCAAAGGATAATCTCAAATTCGAGGTACGTATCTTCATTTCTCGTACATCTTTTCTACGAAATTTATTCTGACTATATTCTATTCTCTTCAGCTCATCCTGAAATCTGTCTTTCTAACATTCCAAACAAACATTACCTCAACACACACAACCCTTACTCCTTACCTCGAACTCAACCAACCCCGCTTCGATCCTTCAGCCATCCCAGCTAGACGTCGTTTCCTCACCCGCCGTGTGAAATTACTCAACAACTTGCTTCGATGGAGGAAATATGCAGGGGATAAATACGGATTGGGTCAACTTGTAGAGATTTTGGTAGAGAAAGTGATGTTGCCTGTTGCTGAGAGTGGATGGGAAGTAGGCGGAGAGGAAGTGATGAGAAAGTAGAGGGTATGCTTCCGAGGGAGTTGATCCCTGTGGGTTCGAAAGTACGGTTGACATGTACGGTGATTCAGTGTACTTATATTGGCCAGTAAAAATTACCACACAATTTATAACTTTCTATGGACTATGGATAGACAACCCATTACCTCAATTGTAGTGTGCTTGAGACTTGATGACTGCAGAAATTCAGGGTTCAAAAAAGAAAGGCCGTGATCATGTAGCCCACCGCGAGGGTCGAACTCGCAGCCTTCAGATGGCACAGTCGCGCCGCGAGGACCCCTACGAGGGGGCCTCGCGGGACGAACAGCTTTAAAAGTCTGACGCTCTATCCGATTGAGCTAGGCGGGCTCGCTCAAAGGTCCTGCCTAATCAGCCCATCTCCAAAAGCACATGCACGTGATCACTCAGCCAATAGCAAGACGTCATTGAAGGCCGGACTGACCCGCACCGGCCGAAGAGAGGCTGAGGCAAAAGAAGGAACGTCACACGAAAGAGCTCCAGCTCACTTTCTCCCTGGTTCAACCGTTCACACCTTCGTTGGTTTGTGTTTAGATTTCTTAAACTCTAAAAAATTATGGCCTCTCGTCTTGGTCGTCGTGCTTTCCTTAATGTCTCTCGTTCAGCTTCCAGCGCAAGAGTGGCTGGACGGAATGCAGGGAGGAGGTTGATGAGCAGTTCTGCGGCTGAACATGCACCTAAGAGCGATTTGCCGTGGCAGGTAAATATAACACCTCGGAACAAACAGCTAGGAATTCAAACATGATGATGTCTTGTAGATTGGTTCTGCAGCGATTTTCGGCCCCTTGGTATGTCCACCACCTCACTGTGCGGTATTTCCGCTTTAACTTGAACCTATTGCTCTCTTGTGTAATTAGTGCTTCTGGTTACTCACTGGTCATGGTCAAGAGAAAGCGAAACACACTGCGGAACACCATGGGGCCAAGGAACACGGACACTCAGAACCTGCTCATGAGACAGCGGAACCCATTAAGGATGACGAGGGCACTGAAGCCTCTGCGGAGGAAGTGAAGGAGTCGGTTCAAGCAGCCGTCGTATGTATACCTCTGGCTATGCGTTTAATTCGTCGGTTGGTTCTCATATCTTTGGACATAGAGCGAGGATTCTCCAAAGGATGCCCAAGCTGCCGAAGAGAAGGTTCGCTCTGCCCTTACCAGCTCAACAATGACGAAGCTAACAACCTCATAGGAGGAAACTGCACCAGCAACTGAGGAGCCTGAATCACCAGTGACGGAGTCCGGCGTTCCAAAGGGTGAAGATGCGGAATCTGCTCCCGTTGAACAAAAAGAGAAGCCTGCACCTGAGGCCAAGTCAAGCACGCTCGAGAATGAGGAAACCGGCAAGGCTGATCTGGGTGAGGCTCGTGCTGCTGCCAAGGTATGTTGTCATTTTTGAAGATGTGCGTTGTTGAGTGTTGATGTTTCTGTTTGCGTTTGATGTAGTCTGGACAAGATCCCAAGGAGGCTTCTGAGAGCCAATAGGTGATACGCCTGGACTTGTTGTCGTAATACTGTGACACTGCTGTTGTAGATATCGACGTTTTGCTTTGCTTGATATTAGACGTTCGTTTCTACTTGTTATTGAAACCGAGGCATGACAGATAGTGAGAAAGATAAGATGGGAGGCGAGAGCGGTTCGAGCCTTGATTGTGGTTGTTCGGTGTTGATGTAAGCAAGGGGACGTAAGCGAGCAAGTAGTGATAGCCCCAGAGTGAGGAAAGGCCTCTGCTGTGTTCGCACTCTCAGCTGCGACTCTTGTACCTTTTTGTCCTTTCCGCAAGCAGGGGCAGGTTCTCTGCGTCTGGCTTAGGCTGCTACTGGTCCTCTCTCTGTTCGTTTCTTCCGAACATCGTCTCTCCTTTTATCTCCACCACTGTCCTGTCTCCATTGTGTTTGGCAACCCGGCGTCCCGACTGTCTATACTTCTCATTTTACCCCAACCCAACACCTGTAACCCAAAACACCTCAGAAAATGTCTGGACCTCTTCTAAATCGTTCCCACTCCTCCGAGAGCTTCGATTCCTTTCGTGAAAGCGGTCCCTCACATCTCGACCTAAACCCAAATCGTCCTAGTTCATCAGACGAAGACGATGATGATAGGGAAACTCCTATGAATGGCTACGACTCTTCCGCAGCGCTCATTCTCGTCTCAGACGGAGAAGACTTTGACAACGAGCTCTCTGTTTCTTTTGACCTCAGTAGCGACGACTCTGATGAGGACGAACAGGATTCTCAATTTGAACGTCTTCGATCATCCTCCATCCCCCCTCTGACCTCATCTTCGGTCTTTCTCTTCCTTCTCGCACCCTTACTCAAGCTAGGTGCAATCCTAGCTGTCGAAGTGGACCAAACAGACGATAACGGCGATGGAATTCTTACCGCTTTACCCTTGCAATGGGCCATTCCTGCGTTGTGTATCTTTGCCGTGCTATGTGCGTTCACGAGGCAGATCTGGTACATGCTTGCCAAGTATGTGAGAAGAGCGGATATGGAGGAGATTCTCTTGCAGGCGTTTGCGAGGAAGAGGGGGAGTGGGAGTGAGAAGCGGAGAAGGAGGATTAGGACTGGTGTCAGGTTTTGTGTGGGTGCGTTCAGGGTGTTGCTTGGAGTAGTCTATCTACGAGGTGAGTTGATTTTGTGACTTTTTGAGATATGTGTATTTGTGATTTCATTTCGCGAATCGTTCGAAGGTGAAATAAAACGCACTTCTCGACGATCAACTCTCCACATACTCAAATATCCAATATCTAATCATAACCACTCACTGATTCATTTGCTTTCAATTCACAGCATCAACCGACGTCCTCCTACCACTCCTCCCTCCCACTCTACTCGTCCCAACCCGGTATCCTCTCACTCTCCTCGTCGCACTTCTCGTCTCCCCACTCTGCTTTGCAAAGTCACTCAGCGCAACACCTGTCCTCTACGCAACTTGGATCTCGATAGCCACATTTGTCGCATGGCTAGCATGTACTGCTTACGCCCACGCTAAAGGCATCCTAACGACGAATCCGGCCGGTGACTCGCTAGGCAGCTTATGGCAAGGAATAAGTGCGTCATTCTTGTTTGTGATATCAACAAAAGTCTAATCTCATGATTTCATGTAGGTGTGATTGCATTCGCCTTCACAACATCCTTCACTCTCCCACTCTACGCTGCCCTCCGAGGGAACGATCCAACCAGGCGCATCCAAATCCAAACGTTCAAACTCCTTCAAACTACTCTCCCTTCTCTCTGTAGGCCTCGCTGCACTCTTCATCGTCCCCCTAATCTGTTTCGAAGCTTCAGAGTCTCCAGTAAGTTCCCATTCCTTACAAACTCCACGAAATAGTGATCCAATTTTGACTTTCAAGCGGCATACACAGACACATAATCCTTCAACTGCTTTCAGAGTCCTCATGGCACTGCTCAATGCTATTACACTCGCATTGACGATCCCGCTCATAGTGATCACGTGCCGAGTCTGCCATTACCCTGTGGCACTGAGGAGGAGGTCGGAAGTGCCTGTGTCGAAGGGAGTGTTGTATGTGGTCATGGTCGCGCTGGGGATGGTCCCTCAAGATTGGGCGCATGTATTGAGTGATGTAGTTATGGTCGGAGCTTTCTTTAGTACATATGTTCTACCAGGTACGTCTCCATTCCCACCAATCCCTAACACTAACACCCTGACCAAAAAATACTTCTTCAATTATAGCTGCAATCCACATAATCATGCACAACTTCCGCCGCCCCCTCTCAATCGTCATCCCCCCCAGTGCACCAATAACACCCAACCCAGCATACACCCGCGACCCTCCATACCTCTCCAACTCCCACATCTACCCCTCACCCTCCGGTCTCTCCGCGTCGAGCCCGTTGAGTGCTAGTTCATCTAGGGACGACGAGCTGTTGCAGAGGAAAGAACAGACGTTGCAGAGACGGAGGTTGACGAGGAGGATCGTTTGGGATATTGGGGTTTGGGTGCTTTTGCTGCCTGTTGGGGGTGGGGGGTTGGTTTGGGCTGCGGGGAGGATCGCTGGTCGATGGTGATTTGTGTCGTTTGTGTTTGTGTTTGTGTTGTGTTTGTGAGAAGACTAAAGGATGGTGAGGTGGGGGGTAGAAAGACGGGATGTGGGAATAAGTCTTTCTGTTGTATATGTGAACATTTTTAGCATTTTTCTTGTGTTATTTTTTCTTTCTTGTTTCTTGGTTGATGTTTCCTATGTATTTGTATTTGTTATCGAACAATGTTTAGCTTTGTAGCTGTGTATCATCAATTTGGCTTCAGTATGTCTGGCGTACTACCCTTTCGCTTCCTCGCTTCCCCCGTTCTCCAGTCTGTAGAATTGGGGTGGTCACCTCGTCGTATCTTTGGTTGGCTCAGTTCGCGTCGAACATTGGCTCACCCATCACAGACCATGAGTTTGCAAAAGCACGCATGAAATATGAACATCGAACGTCGAAGGAATCAAAAGGGCATGCATAGGTAGATATACATTATTACTACATGGTGTCATAGAATGAATATACAATGGAGTAATCCAGAACGAAAGAAAAATCGCATAGTTAATTAATCGCGAGTCCCAGCTCGCTTTTTATGTTTTTGGTTTGTTTGATGTTTTTGTCCTTTTTGGAGGATGTAGATATCCAGAGTATATAACGGGGTAGGGAAAAAAGAGTGGGGTGGCCAACCAGTAAAGGTGGACCTATTAGAGAGTCTAATTCTTGACGAGTCGACGACTCGATAATTTAAGGCGGATGATTGGTGGAAGACCAATCGGAATTATACAGTTTGTCGTTTTGATTTTGCTTCGGGTTTCGTTTGTTGCTCTTTTAGGGATGCGAGTTCTTCCATGATTTGCGCTACGACGCCAAATGAACTCTTCAGAATCTCGAACTAAACACAGAAGAAGAAACCGAAGAACATACCTCTCCAAATCATGTCATCATTGATCGACAACAAAAGATTCTGCCTCTTATCCTTGGTCAACAATCCTACCGCAATCGCTTTATTCAACAACTCCATCATCCAACCCAACGATGTCATCCCCCGCGTCACTTCCACAGATTTAGCAATCGCTTCCCAGATCTCGCGTTCTTTCAAAGAATAGGACCCCAGATGCCCGATAATAGAGTATTCCGGAGCCTCACATCGTTGAGTAATTGCACCCCGATAGGAGTACGCCCCCTTGTTATCGATAGATAGTCGTAGCTGACGAGAAGAAGCCTGCTGGTTCACCCATGAGATATAGAAGATCCCATTTTCCTGTTGCAATCCATTTGGCAATGGAAAGTATTTGAGGTGCAGTGTGAGAGACTCCTCAGGATCTTCCCAGAGTTTGCTGTATCCAG